CATTAGAAAATTTGTCCTTTGAATAGAGGTGTCCTGTCACCACAGGGTCCTGACATTACAGGTTTTACTGTATTATGTTTGATATTTTTATTTTCTTTGTTTCTTTTTCATTTAGTTGGGGGTGAGGGTGGGGATGGATTTTGTGTGTTTTGTATTGTTCAACTGTTTTTCCATTTATATCTATCTTTTTTTCAAGTCAATTTGAAAATAAAAGGCATTTCTTTTCAATTTGACATACTCTGTTTTATTGTTAAGAAACACGTTATCAATATGTGCAAAAAGCATCCAACTTAAACAATTATCGATGGAACGTAACAATTACAGACAAACACACACACATAGCACATATATTTATCTATACAGCAGATACTGACGAGTGTCAATATTCACGAGTGCCAATGTCACATTTACATATTGGTGGTATCATCATCTTTCTTACGCTTTGAGTCAAGCTTTGTTGAACTTCGTTACACTTTGTTAAGCTTTGATACGCTCTCGATTCGTGACAGAGCGCCCCAAATTTTTAGACAGTTTAAAATTTTCGAGCGCTCTTGCCATAAAGGGATTTTGTTCCTTGAGCGTATTCAATTTTTCAATCCATTAAAAGTTGTTCTCATGTCTACTTATGTTTCATGTTTGACTAGTGTCCCTGGTTTTAGTGACGTGCCAGCATCAGAGGTCCAGATGTCTGTCTTTTTTTGGTAACATTTTCTTGCCTCTATTCTATACAGCTGAAAGTCACGGGGATTCTTTTTTTTTTGTTGTAGTTTTTGTGTGACTGATGTTTATTGTTTTCTTTCCAAATACAAAAATATATATATACTGATATGTCCTTTTTTCTATTCTTCTTTACATAAAACATGAACATTCAGTCGAAAAAGTGCAAAACATGTCGTGAACGGTAACTTGCGTAATCTTTGCACAATTTTGTATTTTTCTTGCATGATTTGGCCATCTAAATTTGTATAATTCTGCGGGTACGGGCAAAGGGGCGCTCTCATGGTCTAGAAGTTATGGTGTTCGCCTTTCATTCAATAGGTCCCGGGTTCGAATCCAGAGAGCGAAGGGAATTTTTCTTCTCCAAATTGTCTCTGCCATCTAGCAATGTTCTGTTGACTGTTTTCGCCTCCACTTTCTGCCCCCATCCCCTCACCTCCTTTGCTCCCTCCTTTGGGCTCTTGACTCTTTCTGCAGCTTTTCTACTGCTACTCCTTGGCTTCTTTTTACTGCTGTCAGCCAGCCACACCCCTGATCTTCTGGTAGGAAAGATTTACACCTAGCCTTCTCGGACAATGGCAAAATATTCGGAGGCCCCGTGTGCAAGTTGCGCACGTTAAAGATCCCTTGGTGGTCCAAAATCGACAAGAGTAGGCTTCCACGCCATCCGAGCAAAATTCAAAATTTCCTACCAACTGAAAATGTTCAATCTGTCTCGCAGGCGCATACGACTCTATGCAGTTGCGAGCGCCGTAAAACACTTACCAAAACAAACAAAAAAATGGGAGGCATACAAAGGAAAAACCCAAATAGAGTGTGATAAAAAATTCGGGGCGCAACTTATTATAAAACATCCCTTTGACGAGTGAATCAATGTCACCCATACTTTGCACAGCCATCTGTATCAATCAATTTGTATAAATTTAATTTTTTTTTCTATAACAATGGACGCTAGATTAAAAAATCTGTTCATAAATGTATATAAAATTGTATAGATCTCAGCAACGCAGAAAATGGGAATGTTCACAGCGCTTCCCGCTTCTCTCGCTTTGCATTAGCCTACGCCAATGGCCTACGCCACTGTTCACCAATGACACTCCTTAGTGGCCACACTTGTTACGAAAAAAAATAACTAGTGACCATTTTTATTTTGCCCAACGGGTTCTGAAAACGGGCTTTCAATAAGTATAGTGGGGTGGTTAGAAGAAAAGACAGACTTGCTTTTAAAAGGGATATTGTCTCTTCTTATGGGATGCAAACCTTTTAAACTGCAGAAACTATCCACTGAGATTTTTAATTAGTGCTTTAAAGGTATTAGGGAATGCTCTAGTGTGTTTACAAAATGTTGCTCTGTTAAAATAAATTGATTTGTGTCCTTGTGCAAAAAAAGAGAGTTTTTGTTTCGAATATTTGACGAAATATCTGACGAATAAGTTGTGTCACAAATTTTTGACCGCACTGTAAGTGCTCATACACTGACAAACTGATAAGATCTTTCGATGGCCCATTTCCACCACTGTGAAGTGAGAAACATTCATGTAAGGCGCCTTTCCCAAGCACACAACGTCCGGCCTCTGACAAGATGTGTGCGCACGACACTTCTGTTGCGAGCCCAATAATCTAACCTCTACACTGTACGCTTACGCAGAGTCTACAATTTTAACTGTGATATAATATGTGAGGGATCTGATCGCTATACATGTAAAGATTTTTTTTTTTAAGTAATCAAAAAATGACTTACCACTCTCAGCGAGCGCCATTCCACTGAGAGCCAAAAACAAGGAAAGGGTGAACATCTGAAATTAACATAATCATAGAAGGGTAAATGGAAAGCGAATCTGGACGTGGGCCTACCCAAACACAAAATCAATATTCATGCGTCTCAAGGCATACTCTCTTGTTGTAAAAATAAACTTGGGCCCCAATTACTTGAACGCAATACGCACATCCGGGACTTCCACCCGCAGTCGGGCCCCTCTCACAGAATTCTACACTAAGTGTAGAATTCTGTGGTCCCTCTTGACTCGCTGTGACGTCGTCCGCAAAGACACTTTTAAGAATGGGGGATCCAGATGAATTTCTACAGTTTTACTTTACCCTCTGTCTGTCGTCCTAATGAAGCCCAAGAGCGACACGTCATTTTGCAAAAGCATGGCGAAACAGTTACAGTTCTGCTTTTCTTTTGGGTTGGAGAGGGGAGGTGGGCTTTACGTGTTTGTTTGATGTTTATTGCTTTGTATCTGTTCTGCTTTTGTTTGTGTTTGTGTTGGTCTTTGGTTTGTTTTGGCTGTTTGCTTGCTAGTTTGCCTATCATTTAAGAAGATACATATCAAGGCCTAATTGCTCTTACACACCAGATGTCCCATTATATTCAACAAAATCAGCGAAGACAAGACGCGCTCTCTGAACAAATTCGGACAATTTCGTTGTGATTGAAAAGAAAGGTAAAGGCGCAGTGACGACAATTGTCTTTGATAGAGTAGAGAGAAGCAAATCGACGCAATAGTTGTCATATTATAATGCAGGGAAAAAGCAACCTTGAAACACAATAATCACCAAGGGAAAGAAAAGAAATAGGAGCTACCAGCCGTGCCTCCAAGCACCCGCAATGACGATCATGCCGAGTGAAAAAAACCAGCATGACAACAAGAAGGAAGAATCTAATTTCACTTACATCTTTGCAGTTCTTTCGATCAAAGTCAAAGTGTGATATATCATTTCGACCTTTATTAATTATTCCAGTATTTGTCCATATCCTTCTCAGACTTTTCCGGTAAAATCTGACGTATTTCAAATGCATGATTGCAGTATGACTGTCCCCGCGGTTTTATGCAAAACGAATTCTGAAATTATGCAAATTGAGCCCAAAAACATGAAATTATGCGGTTCTGTTAATTTTAACAAAGTATGATAAAGGAAAATAATCAGAAATTATGCAAAAAATGATCATAACCCCCCCTCCCCCCCCTGGACAGGCATGAAAAGACACAGGACCTGTTACCCGAAAAGAATACAAGGTTTTGGTGGAGCCAACCTAGTTTTGCAGGCGTCTGTCCGTTTTCTTCTTTGCGGGCATTCGTATGTTGATGTCATACTTTTGAATCTGTCAGTTTTATTTTACCGGAAAACTACACCAAGATTGAGGGGAAAGTGTTGGAACTATTAAAAGTAAGTTATCACACTTTGACCGTAAGAGTGCGAGGGTGTGAGTGGACAATTCCTCTCTCCAGTTGTCTTGCTGTTTCCACTGAAGAGATTTATCGAGCATCATTTGAATAAAATTATAATATAATGCAACTCCATTGTACATATATGCATTTATTATCTCCATAATCTTCTTTCTTCAGCAGGGTGTGAGATACAAGTTTAGATTTGGAATAGGTGTATCCTAAAAGCTTATGGTCCAGTTTAGGATAATGAATGACCTTTTATGATAAAGTATTAAAGTATTCAGGGAGCTCAGTAGAGATCGGAATTTATCGTCTTTTCTGGGGCAGTTGTCGAGTTGTGTTTATACAGTATATTCTTACGGTTTGGAAAATATAATGCTTCAACTTCACCTTTCATATTACAGAACCTTTGATAAATCATTCCAAATGTCTTAGAGTAACAAACACATGTAATAATTATATATAGGCCTACATGTGCGTTATTTATTGCACATGTTGTAAACTTCATAAACTCTAAAATAGTTTTCTCCCTATGACTTCGAGTAAACGTACCTTGACAATTGACACAGCTGTTCTCAAGTTTTAAAACAACCCAACGAGACTGAAGCTTGTGCCTGCCTTGAGGCAAGGTGTCAATGACGCTGTTCCAACTCAGATAGAGCCCTTGTTTTTATAGCATAAACTTGGCCAGGCGTAGTCAGCCTTCAGAATTTCCTGAGCTCCAACAACTTTGATAAGATAAGTACATGCAGGTCAATAGACAGAATTTCATTTACGAAGTCGTAGTGTGGTAGTGGGCTTACGTCATAAAGTGCGAAAGAAACTTTTGACTCGTAATTTTAGAGGAGGGGTTGGGGGCGGTCGGAAATGTACGAGTACAGAAATGTAGCCTACTTTTACTGACAGCGACAGCATTTATGGGCAGAGATTTTCTTGAGATTCCTCGTTCTTTCGATTGATCTCAAGGGTAGCAGACTGAAGTTGTTATTGCACTCTTTAGGGTTTTAACTCCATGACGCTTAGTTTTGAGAAAATGGGATTCACAGATTCACTCTTAAAGCTGAAACATTTTCACACCTTACTTGTTAAGCGTCAAGCCGAAAAGAATACAGACAGGCCAGCTTGATTCGATCTTTTGACATTATGTGCAGGGTATCTGTGTCGGTAATGTGTGACTCACTTCTCGCGAAAAGTTTGAATCTTATCATTCTAAGGGCTTGCACTTGCATTGTCAACATATGGTGAAGCAGCATCTGTGGTGTAACGGTTAGGAACTTTACCGTCGCACGCAGAAGACATAAGTTCGATTCTCACTTCGGGAGGATTTGGTTGTTGTGATTTTAATAATCTGCTATCCCTCTCCGACAGCTGGGTGGGATGTTGCACCCCTCTCGCAAAACTTAACCCCGGTTGACCCTGAAAGGTGGGGTCCAAGCAGCCTGCCTCCTAAATGATCTATGTTGTGTTGATGAGGGTGCAGATACAGGTACAACTGCGGTGAAGTGGGTATCTACCTGAATGGCTTAGTCAATTTGTCCCTTTTTTACAAGTGCCCCTTGATGCCAAACTTCAAGTTTATCCCTATCTATGGCCCCTCGTTTTACGTGTATCTTTTTAGCTTTTACAGTACAGTCAAACCTCGTAGTATATTATTATAAACTGAGTATTTATCATTTATGCATTGCTTTCATACCACCATCCGTCAACTGTCTGAGTTGTATGGTCTTTATGATGTCTCTATACTATACTGTAATATAGATTTGCCCCGTCATATTGCCCACGAACTGACCACCAGAGGGACGCACTGCACACAACACCCGCTGGTTGGCTTTTTGATTGTCTTTCTCCCACAAAAAGACATAGAGATAGAGAGAAGAGAAGGCTCTCGGATCTGAATACGTGTGCATGTACACCACGAACAAAAAACATTTTCTTCAAACACAGATCGCACAACAGAATCATGTAACTTGACGTAGGGCAGACGGTACTATACAGTAGCAGATGAAACCCGTTGAGCCGCCAGCCCCGCTGTTCCGTCATGCTCGTCCCAAGGGTGGCGGTTCAACGAGGTTTGTTGACTGAAGGTGGTTGTTGCTTCTCTGACCTTTCTGGAATAAGAGTCTCTTGCCATTTTGCCTGCCTGTGTTGTTTTAGCACCAGGCTAGGTTTCTGTGCTGTTCCTATCTTCTGTTAGGTCTCCCTTCCTCTCTTGCCTTCAACCTTTGCTTCCAGAATTGAATATGTTCCTCGAGTGATTAATGGCGTTTGGAAAGCCTAAGTAGTTCAGTTTGTTTCATTACTTTTAGGGTGTCTAGAAATATTTCCTGAAAAAAAAATACTACCTGGAATTATGGAGGAGTGTTGGTTTTTCTATACAGTAGCCTACCTATTTTCTGAGTACATCTTCCTCTTAGTTTTCTGCGTCCAGGGTATTATTAGAGCTCTCAATAACATACATGATAATTCCATTTCGAAAGCTGTAATCCTGCTTTTGTCTTCTTCATTGATGGCCCATGCTTCACATCCGTATGATTTCAGTGGGGAACATGCTGCTTCTTACTCTTAGAATGTTTATGTTTAATTTGCATTGTATTTGTACATGCACTTTCCAGGAAAATGTCACCCTTTTCAATTTGATATTGCGATTGGTCTCAGATCTCCGTTTAATGATAATCTCTGGGGTTGTTTTCCAATATGTCTCAATCTTGGCTCTAAAATAATCAAAACCGCTATCTGTATACGTGTACATATGTATACCGGAAGCTAAAAACCAGAACAGGAACTGGTTCGCTC